CCGCCCTCCTCCACTCCCTGACAAAGGACCTCTTCCACTGCTTTGCTCTGGCTTCCTGGGATATAGGGATAAGCTAAGAAGATTGGCGGGCAGCTCCTTAAAATGTAGATGTGCCTTGTGCATTTGGCACTAAGAATCCCCAAATGGAAGGATGTTAACAGCTGTTTGCTGATTTATGTGCTGGCATGGAGGTGGCGATGTAGTGATAAGACTGAGTTTGGGAAGCTCAAAGTGTCACTTGGGGCCTGCAAGGAAGGGGCCATATCCTTGCAGGTGGTAGCGGTGCAGTTCTTTGTGTTTGAGTTAGTCATTTACAGAAAGTCAGCCAGTGTGCTACCTGTGGCCCCTGAGCCATCGGAGGGTTTAGCTGAGACATGGTAGTGCCTCCCATTCTTCAGTGGCTGGAACTCAGGGAGCCCTCACCTGGGTTTTGACAGCCAACCCTTTCCCTCCTCAGCCGGACACAGCATCTCCCTAAGCCATCCACTCCCTGAGGGAGGGCCCAGACCCTGGCACTCTACTTTGGTCCTTCACCCCAGTCAGCCAGCTCGCAGGAACTCGGACCAGCTTGTCTTGCAGGCCAGCTCCTGAGCTACATGAACTGACTTTCCTTCCCTCTCATCCCTATGAAATATTTACCTCTTTCCTTGATAGAAAACCACCCAGACTTGGAATTCTGGGCTTCAAATATTTTGCTATTACAAAATTAGTGGCAGACCCTAAAAACTAGGCCCTGGGTTAGGCCTGGACCAGGCTACATACTACACTCATCACTGGCCACCTCCATCTAAGTCAAGATCACATTTCTTTCTTTAAGCCAACAAGATTGCCAGCCCTAAGCAGGCTCCCCGGTAGTCCCATCAATCAGAACGGCCCAGTCAAGCCACCGCCTGCCCACCCCCAGCTCTTACCATACCAGCTCCTCAGGCCCTTGGCCAGGCTCCAGCTGTGTTTTGAGTTAAACATCTGGCCACACTCTGGGGCCTCTGGAGTCTCACTTCTGATCTGCAGTGGAGTTTCAACTCTCAGCCCCACTCACCCAAGCAATGGGGGTGTCAGAGTCTAGAGTCACTACAGAAAAGTAAAAATGGGCAAAAAGACACAAAAGAATTCAATCCTGCACTTTTTTCTTCAGTCCTAATTTGCCTTTAAGATGATTTCGACTCAAGGCAAAGGGTTGTTTCTCAGCCTATAGCAGTAGTTTCAACCAGGGGTGGGGGTGGGGTAGCGGGTGGGGGGCAATTTTGCCCTCCAGAGGACATTTGGCAAAGTCTAGACATTTTTTTGTTGCTATGCCTAAGGGGATGCTAGTGGGTAGAGGCTAGGGATGCTGCTAAGCATCCCACAGTACTCACAACGAAGTACCCGGCCCCAAATGGCAACCATCGGAGGTTAAGAAAACTGTCTAGATTAGCCAAGCTGACCAATTCCTCCTCTTCCTCTGATGTATGCCACCGGTCGCTCCCAGCCTCTTGCCACGCCCTGTGGTGGCTCCCTTCTCCTCTCCAGTACTGCAAGTGTTCAAGATTCTGTCACTCCCCTTGAGGGTCTTCTTCTCTGGTGACTTCATATCCTCACAAGGATGACCATCACTTTGAATTTGGGGTCTTAACCTTTCTTTTAAACTTCAGACCCATCCTCCTAAATAGGCTGTGAGAATCTCCAGCCAGTTGCCCATCCTTCCTCCGCCTCTGCTCTGTCTAAAACCAAATCAGCTCCGCCATTTTGGCAACTCCTGTCCCATCATCCAGATGCCAGACGTTGGCTCTGCCATCTCTTGTGCCATTCTAGCATATCAATTGTCATCGGGTCCTGTGGGGCCTTTCTTCAGCCTTGCTGCTTTCTTCACAAGTTGTGGGCTTCCCTCCTTTAAAGGTGATGACCAGACACAAGCCCCTATGTATTCTCTTCCTCAGACCTTCCTCCACATTGCCTCAGCCTGTCCTGAAACTAGCTTCAAATCCTCACTTGCAGGACAAAAATAAATAATTAACCAATCAATTAATTAAAATCAACACTTCCATCTCCTACCAAAATAGCCTCAAAATTGCTTGCCCTGATACTTCACCATATCCTGGAGAGACCCCATCTAACCTTTGTCCTGAAACTAGTCTCACTTGCAGAACAAAAATAATAAATAATAAATAAATAAAATCAACACTTCCATTTCTTACCAAAATAGCCTCAAAATTGCTTACCCTGATACTTCATGATATCCTGGAGAGACCCCATCTAATCTTTGTCCTGAAACTAGCCTCAAATCCTCACTTGCAGGACAAAAAAGTAAATAATAAATAAATAAATTAATTAATTAAAAATCAACACTTCCATTTCGTACCAAAATAGCCTCAAAATTGCTTGCCCTGATACTTCATGATATCGTAGAGACCCCATCTAACCTTTGTCCTGAAATTAGCCTCAAATTCTCACTTGCAGGACAAAAAAAAAATAAATAAATAAATAAATAAATAAATAAATGAACACTTCCATTTCCTACCAAAATAGCCTCAAAATTGCTTGCCCTGATACTTCACTATATCCTGGAGAGACCCCCTCTAACCTTTGTACTGAAACTAGCCTTAAATCCTCACTTGCAGGACAAAAAAGTAAACAATAAATAAATGAATAAGTAAATAAATAAATAAAACCAACACTTCCATTTCGTACCAAAATAGCCTCAAAATTGCTTGCCCTGATACTTCATGATATCCTAGAGACCCCATCTAACCTTTGTCCTGAAATTAGCCTCAAATTCTCACTTGCAGGACAAAAAAAAATAATAATAAATAAATAAATCAACACTTCCATTTCCTACCAAAATAGCCTCAAAATTGCTTGCCCTGATACTTCACCATATCCTGGAGAGACCCCCTCTAACCTTTGTACTGAAACGAGCCTCAAATCCTCACTTGCAGGACAAAAAAGTAAACAATAAATAAATGAATAAGTAAATAAATAAATAAAACCAACACTTCCATTTCGTACCAAAATAGCCTCAAAATTGCTTGCCCTGATACTTCATGATATCCTGGAGAGACCCCCTCTAACCTTTGTACTGAAACTAGCCTCAAATCCTCACTTGCAGGACAAAAAAGTAAATAATAAATAAATTAATTAAAAATCAACACTTCCATTTCCTACCAAAATAGCCTCAAAATTGCTTGCCCTGATACTTCACCATATCCTGGAGAGACCCCATCTAACTTTCCTGCTTTCTCCAACTGCTCCTCCAAGACCCCACAGGATGCTCTCTCTCCGCAGCCCTACACGTAGTTTCCAACCATCTTAGTTCACCGCCAGCCAACACCAACCATCCCCCACCTCCTACTCATAGTAAAGCAAGCCCTCTGTCCCTCTTTGGAAGCTCATTTGAAATGCCATTACCTTCATCAAGACACTCAAGATCCCCCAGTTGACGGTCTTTTCTTTCACATCTATGTTGTTTACCCTTTAGAATGGAGGTTAGGCCAACTACCCGATCCGTATCCCCTCAAAGCGCGCTCTCCTGCTAACGGGCGAGGTGCCGGGAAGAGGGAGGAACACAGGGGTCCCGGGCCCGTGAGCGTGTGGAACAAAGGGAGTCTGTACTCACTCCTTGAGGGAGAGCGCTTTGGGAAAGAGCGAGCTCTCAGGAGAGCAGTCATCCCTTTGGGGACGCCACCGCGGCCTCCCTGGGGCTCCAACCCCAATATCTACTGACCTTGCTCTTCGGCATGCCCGTCGCCTCAACTCCTTATCCATCGGGGCTCTCATTTGCATGGGGCGGTCAGCTCTCTCTCTTTCTCACTGATGGTATGTTTGCCCACCGCCATCAGTGAGACCAGGGGTTGGCCCCTGTGAGCCCCGACCTCCCCTCCAGCCTGGTGAGTGTCGGAGTCAGGAAGAGGGACCCCCAGTGCCCGCTGACCTCGTGGCATCCCGGGCCTGGCCGCCATATACACGCTCGCCAACCGCTTCCAAGCAGCACCACCTCTTAGGGCGTTCCAACTCGGCGCCCCCTAAGGGACCTCCCACTCACATCCGGTTTCCGGTTCGATGCCCCCTGCTCATTCGCCAGGCAGCCTTGATTGGCGTGACCCCGGCCCAATGGCTGACCCAGCACTGGGGGTCAAAGGGGAGCGAGTTGACTGTTGGGACCCAATTGGCACGTTGAGTGATTGTTCAAATGGTTGAGCCGTCTTTGCACGTGGGTGTAGTTGCTAAAGTTTAGACCGAAGTTCAGTGTTGACATTTGGGAGCGTGTGGACCCCCGGAAGTGAGACGATGCGCCTGTCGGGGGATCCAAACGTTACCCAGGGTTGCACTTTGTCGGCATCCCTCCGCGCAGCGCGGCAACGCTGGATGGCAGACGAGGGGGCCATGCTGCGCCGGGCTGGGGTCTCCTCGTTCTGAAAGGGAAATGGTGGGTTTAATGAGATTGCATTGTGAGTGGTTCGCCCGCCCGCGGTGCGTGGATACAAGGATCCACCGATTCAGGGATCCACCCGCGGCACGTCGGTACAGGGATCCACGGATACAGAGATCCACCTGCGGCGTGGCAGTACACGGATGCAGGCGCTGCGCCTCGCTTGCCGCAGCCCACCCTGTGTGACATTCATCCCCGTGCCATCCGCTCTGCAGGCCGGGTGGTCCCCAAGCCCCGCGGCCGCCTAAAGATGGCTCGCAGGCCCGTGTCACCCGCTGGCAACACAGACCTGATGCCCGTGCCGCGGATTTTACGAGATCCGCAAGCAGAGATTTTTTTTTCCATGTTTCTAATATGACTGCAGACCCCCGAGCGCGAGCAGCACACACATGCGCAGAGCCCACCCGGCAGCGGGGGTCTCCCTCCCCTCCGGCTGCGAGCCCCCCGCGCGCGCGCCACGGAGGCGGGAGCGCAGCCGGCGGCCGCGGGGTTTAGGACCAGGCTTGTTGCTGCCTCTGCGGCTCTAGCAGTTGGAAAATAAAGCGGCTACCTGGAGATACCAGAGCGAGAGGAGGGGGCTGGAGTGGGGCCGGGGGCGGAGGGGACTAATGGACGCTGCGGCGGGCGCCCGAGGCGGGAAGCAGGCACCGCGGCCGCCTTTGCCCGCACAGCGCGGCACGGCGTGGTGGGTGCCTTTGGGCTCAGCGCGCACAGGGTTGAACAGTCTCTGAAAGCACCCCAAATCCGCCTTAAATCCCCATGAAATCCCCTTTCACCCTTCCCCAGAGCGGTAGGACCCCCGAACGCCTAAGGCCTGCTCTCTCTGAGGTCTCTTCCTCGCCCCACGTCCCCTCCCGCCCTCCCTCCGTGCTGCCGCCGTTACCGCGGGCCGGGGTCGCCCACCCTCGGGCCTCCCGGATCCCCCGTGGCCCGTGGACCACCGCTTGGCGACCGTTGCGTCAAAGGTTTCCTTAAACCAGCGGTCGCCAACCTTTCGGACCTCACGGACCCCCAGGGGTCTGTGGTCCGCCGGTTGGCGACCGCTGGGGAAGGTCTCCGTGATGCGGACCCGAGACCCTCTTATTCCCCGGATCACTTGTCCGCGTGAACGCGGACCCCGGCCCGCGCGGCGCCCGCGGAGACCAAGAGCGCCGTGGGGAGGGGGCTTTGAGGTGATTGACAGGAGCCAGCCCCTGCAAAGCCGGCCAACCAAAGCTGCAGCGGCGCCGGAAAGTGCCCCGAGGCTTTTTAAAAACAAACTGTGTGCACACGCTCGGCATCGCCGTGCCCCTCGCCTCCTGCCCTCCCCATCGGTGGGCTCGCGACCACCTGTCGCATCCCCGTGCGCGCGCGCCCTCGCCCCCTTCCTAACGCCCTGTGCTCGGGATCTGGGCCCGGGATCGCAGGCTGCGCAGAGCTGGGGGCTGCGGCTCGGGCTCAGGAGTGTTTTGGGGTTATGAAACCTTCCTGCAGCTCCCCCCTCCCTCCAAGGAGAGCCTGGCGTCTGGGAGGGAGGGTGGCAGCTCCTGCGCTCCGCGTCCCGGGCCCACGTCGTGCGTCACGTGGCCTCACGCAGCAGCGTGCTGCGGCCAGGGAGCGCGAGCAGACAGCTCCCGGCAGTCCGGAGCGGAGCGGAGGAGCCGCCACATCCCTGCGAGGCCTGCTCGCCGCCCCGGACCCCAAGGCCCGGGCTGCAGGCAGCGGAAGCGGCTCCCGCAGCTGCCCGGGCCCCCGCCGGCGGCCTCTGGCGGCCGAGGGGGAGCTCTGCGGGCGACTTTCGGACCGAATCGGCGCGCTCCTCGCATCCAAAGGGGCGGAGCTAGCCTGGAGAGCCCTGAGAGACAGAGAGACAGAGACAGAGACAGAGACAGAGACAGAGACAGAGACTGAGGAGGGGGCCCAGGGTAGGGCGTGGGGGAGGGGGGGAGCCGTGAGCAGCCCCAGGAGGTAAAAAGTGGCCTGGAAGGAACTGAGATGCCACCAGCAACAAGAGAATTGCTTCTACCACAGCCTAGGGTTTGAGGGCCTCTACCCCCAGCCCAGCGGGGATTGGACAGTGAGGTTGAAGAACCGGCTGGCTGGTAATTTTGTTTTCATTTTCTTGGAAAGTATTTTTTTCACCCTAGTTTGGTTGGGTGCTCCGTCTCACGGAGCCCCAAATATAGATTAAGAGGCCGCCACCGTGTTATGGGCATGTGCCACTGCCTCTACGGCAACCATATGTCAGGACAACGCCATCTCCCCCCTGAACTCGAGAAATAATAGCCCGAGCAACCACCCTTGGAGGCCTCAGGGGCAGCTGCCCCCAGTGCTGGGCTTGGCGCAGCCGAAGAAATGGAGGCCCCATCGCCTTCCAGGGAGCCCGTCCCCGTCGAGACTGACGGCGAGGCCCGCGGACCTCCAGAGCCCTCCAGACCCCACGTGCAGGGCGAGGCAGGCCCGGAAGTCGGAGCCCACGGAGGATACAGCCCACCTCCGGAGGAAGCCATGCCCTTCGAGGTCCAGCAGCCCGGCGGGGGAGGCTTCTGGCCTGTCCTGGGGCGGCCTGCAGACGCCAGGGGGGCCCATGCAGGCCCCCGAGCCGACAGTCCAGCGCCCATGGAGCCCGGAGCCCGCGGTGATGCCGGAGCAGAGCTGGGAGGCTACAGCCCTCCGCCGGAAGAAGCCATGCCCTTCGAGTGGGAACAGCCTGCCGGGGGCGGGGGGAGCAGTCAGCCTCGTTCGCGGAGCGAGCGCGCTCCCGGAGGCCCCGCCGCGGGGGTCTTTAGCGCCCCCTCACTGGCGCCCCGAGTGCGCAGCCCTGCCTACGCAGGCTGCGGCGGAAGCGGCAGCCCTCCCCCGGAGGAGTCTATGCCATTTGCATTTGATGGAGCAGTCCGTGGGCACGACAGCCCACCCCCCGGGCTCCCCCGAGCTCCCCTACAAATCCACGACGGTGGCGGCGGCCACTCCGCGGCAGTCGCGGAGCAGAGTGCGATCGTCCTCGCTCCCGCCGCGAACGAGCCCCCCCGCCTGGTCCCCGGAGCCATCGCCAGCACATCCGGAGAGGCAGCCAGAGCTCTTCCACACTCCGTGGGCTTCAGCGCCCCGATGGAGGTCCCCGGACCCCAGCTCGAAATTGAATCCCCTCCCGTTGGGGTCGGCGACGCTCCCGTCAACATGGACAGCCCGCCAATCGCGCCAGACAGCCCGCCCATCGAGGTCTCCGGAGCCCCAGCCGCGGCAGAGCAGGCAGAGGGAGAGAGACCCCCAGTTGAAGGAGAAGCAGCCGAGATGGAAGGAAGCTCAGCAGCCCCCGCTGCAGCCGCAGCCGCAGAGGGAGACCAGCTCCCTTCTCCCGGAGCCGGAGCCGGAGCCGGAGACGGAGACGGAGACCGAGACCGAGACCGAGACCGAGACGGAGACCGAGCTCCTGTCGCCGCGGCCCCCGAAGCTCCAGACGCCGGAGCTCCTGACGCTGGGGCAGCCGCCAATGCCCCAGTCGCTCCCGATTCACCAACTGCTCCCGGAGCCTCTCCCGACCACCCGGCAGCCGCAGCGGAGCCAGCCGCCCTGGCAGATCCCGCCGTGGCAGATCCCGCCAGCGCCGGGGCAGATCCCGCCAGCGCCGGGGCAGATCCTGCAGCCCCACCCCCTGTTGCCCCCCGCCCCGATGTCACTGGGGCAGATCTTGCCGCAGGGGCAGATGCTGATGTCCCACCCCCTGTTGCCCCCCGGCCCCCCATCGCCGGGGCAGGTCCCACTGCCAGGGCAGATCCCGCTGTCCCACCCCGTGTTGCCCGCCGGCCCGATCCTGCCCCCCGGCCAGTCCCCTATGCGTCTGCAGCCTGGGGAGTCCCACCCTCCTGCTATGGTCCACACAACGCAGCCCTCCGCGTGTCCCGGGCTGCTCGAGATGCCCAGACAGCTCGAGAGCTGTCCGCTCGGTGGGCAGGCCCAGCCAGGCGATCCCATTCCGACCACCGTCCCATCGTCCGCCCCGACCCCCGCTTCCTTAGGCCCCCCAGCCCCGAGATTCAGCCTGCCGATCCGCCTGCTGCACCTCCTGCTCGCTTGTACCGGGCGAGGGCCTACGACGGCGGAGACGGCGGAGACGACCCCGGATGGGCCAGCAGCAGCGACGAGTCCAGCGAGGGCCAGTGGAGCTGCCTGCCCTGCGGCGGCGGCGAGAACGACGGAGACGGAGATCGTGGCCGCAGCCGCAGCAGAAAGTCGAAGCGTAACGTGTTCCGCCAGTTCTTCGAATGGCTCCTCCCCTGCTGCTTCGGCAAAAAAGGCAAAAGCAAGCGCAAGGGAGCCCAGTCCGGAGCCGGCGGCCAGGTCTCGATTCCTATGCTGGAGCGGAGCCGACGACAGGAGTTCCCCCAACGCCTCACCCAGCAGGGAGACTCAAGATGGCACGGCGGCCAGCTCCTCGACCGACAGCTCGGGCCCGAGAGGGTGGATTTCATGTGCTCCCACCGCCTGCTGCTTCTAGGTAAAGCGGCGGACTCTGCCCGTGGCGAGCAGGGCCGCCCGGGAGCGGGAGCGGGAGCGGGAGCGGGAGGCAGGGCTGCCCGGGGCCCGGGGCCGGCGGCGGGCGGCGGGCGGCCGGGCGGAGGCCGGAGAGCCTGCTAGGAGTCCCCGCGCGGGCCCCTCTCTGCCCCGGGAGCGGGCGGCGGAGGGCGCGGGTGGGCTCGGGTGGCCGGAGTGAACGCGCGGCGCGGAGAAAAGGAAAAAAAAAAGATGGTGTACAACACTGGGGTCGTTTCCAGCTGAGCGTGCCAGGGGCCGCGGCCGCGGCCGCAGGACGACCCGACTTCCCAGGGTGGGGGCCAGCCTGAGAGGCCGGGGGCGCGTCCTGACAGGCGGGGTCTACAGGTGAGCCAGGAGCTGCCGGGGAGGGGCCTGGGGGGGGGGCCCGGCTGAGCTGTTTGTGGCCGTGGTGGGATGGGGTCGTTGGGAAAGGCGCGCCCCGCCTCGCCTGGCACGGCTGCTTGAACTCAAGACAGCTTGTTGTTGGTGTGTGTTTGGTGTCCATATTGTGTCCGGCTGTGCATGACATGCGCTAAAGTGTCCCCCAGTTCCCTCCCCTGGCACCCCGAACCACCCGCCGACTGTGTACTTGTTGGGGAGCGGGCTGCCTTGTGTTGTGCGCCATGGTGCGGGCGCAAACTTGGCGCGTCCACACTCTCTGCGGTCCTGCCAGCCGGCTCTGCAGCGGGCGGCGCGGAAAACGCGGAGAGAAGGCTGTGGGACATCTTGGTAATACGGTGGGCGCCCCGCGCAGGGGCCGGGGGCCGCCTCCTGATGGCCTGCATAACCTTGTTTTCTGTGTGTCTCTCTCTTTTTTCCCTTTGCGATAAGCGTTTCCTCTCTTCTCATTCCTCCGCCAAACCCTCTCGCCTTTACGGTTGAAAAAAAAACCAGACACTCAGGTATCTGGGGCGTCAGGGGCTGCACACATAAGTTCGGCATTCTGCACACATTCGGCTCACCTGGTGGAGGGGCAGGGGTGGGATGGGGGCGGGAAAAGCACGCAAACATGCTCTAGGCAAGTCTGGATGCAAACCACGCGGGGCCGGTTCCGAGGGGGTGGGCGTGGCTGTTATTAAAAACATGAAATAATCCATCCCCCCACCCACTCACCCACCCCTTCCCCGGACCACCCGAGGTAAGCCCATCATTGACACTTTCCCCGCTCATGCAGTAGGAGGGGCTTAGGTAAAAGAGGGATGCCTGGGAGTGGACCACAGTCATATTTCAAATGCAATTAAAATAAATCATTTTTTAAAATGCTCCGAGTGTATTTTAAGTGTGTGGACAAAACGTGATAAAATTGACCATGACTTGTGAAATCTGTAAATGTTTGCATGTGCATCTTTTCAGGTAGCTTTAGCTGGGGGCAAAGAGGCTCAAAGGTAAGATCCTCTGCAAATGGGCTGGTGATTGAAAAACATTAAAGAGGTCTTGTGCTCATAATCATATTAGAAGGGTACCTTTGGGGGCCCTCTGCCTGCCCCCCTCCCTTACGGGGGTGGGGGCACATCTTCTACCACAGCAAGACGCCCGGCCCATCTTCATGTCCTTCCCTGGCCCCGCCCAGTCTCCACCCTCTTTGCCCCCTCCAGACTCCTTTAGCTCCAATCTGGAGTGTTGACTCTTGTGTCACAGTTAATCAAAGCAGTAATTAGCAATGGTCTGAATGTGTGGCTTAAATGAAAATTCCAAAGTGAATTTCCTTATTTTATTTTCTAAGACCTTTCAAGGGATTTGAAGATCACTATTTCTAAGGCTTTGCTAAATGTTTGTTAAGCACTTTATAATGTGTCCTGGTTTTAATTAATGACATCATGGACATGGCTGTATGCTGTTGTGATGTGCGTCTCTCACAAATCACAGTGTTAAATGTGATGGTCATTTATGCCCACCCATAAAGATAATGACATCATCATTTTCCCAAGAACATTTCGGGTGTCCCACTGCACTAAAGCCACCGAGCCTCAAATGACAATGCACTGTTTTCCTGCAAACAGCTGGTTTTGCCACAACAGTCCCATTTCAATATTCCAAGCACAGCCATGATGGGGGAGACACAATTGGGTAAAGACAGGAGAGTCAGTTACGGTGCACTTGACCCCTGGCGGGCACGCAGTGTCCCTTGCCTTCTGGGGCCTCAGTTGCCTCATTTGTGAAATGACTTGGGTCCTCTATTTGAGCGGGGGGAAAGAGGGGGTGCAGGGCAGGGAGCACAGTCCACTCAAATCAGCACTGGAGGCTTATATCATAGATGATACAGACATCAACCCACCAGCAAATGGTCTCTGTCTGAGGCGGAGTCTTAAGAATATTAGAAGTCACCCTTGTTTTATAGTGGGGGGCGGGGGGTGGGGAGTGAGGTGTTAACCTCAGTCACGGGAAATTTGCCATCATCCTGGCTCTGCTTCCAGGGCGGTGGTCCAGCAGACCAAACCTCAGCCACAGGTGGCATGGGCCTAAATTCAGGTAGCCAGGCTTATAGTTTCTCTCCAGGTTTCATTTTGCCCAAGTACCATTCATTCATACATCTGGGTCTGAGTTTCTCACTGGGGAGGGGGAGAGTAGGGAGAATGAGGCCTTATATTTAGAACAAGCCTTTTACTAACATTCTACTCCTAACACATAAAACAAGACATCCATCTTCCTGCCACTGAAAATGCAGAACAAATGACCATCCTTTGATGTGACTCTGAATTTGTGACATGCAGATTCATCTGTGGCTTTAAAAATGTGTGTGTGCATTTGTGTATATGTACTCTGTGTTCTTATTGCCCGAACAGCTTAACATGACAGAGATTAAGAAAATAAATAAATAAATAAAAACACTATATTATATTAATTCCAGTTGTACTACATAGTGATTCGGCACTTTTATCCCTTATGGAGAGATCATCACAAAAAACCTAGTAACCATCCATCACCATACAAAGTTGCTATCATATTACTGTGTTCCCTCTGCTGTAGTCAGGGAATCCTAAAGGAGAAAAGATAGGTAGGTAGGTAGAAAGAATCAATAACATGACTAGAATTCTAGAATATCTAAAGTGTTAAAGGCTTTTTCTTATTCAACACTATCCAATAATAGACTGTTTCCATGTTTCTGTTGCCCTTTTGGATAATTTTGGAGGCTTTACCATTTTTTGGAACCTAAATTTCCTCATGTCTTAAGGATTGAAGGGGCTGCTCTGTTAGAATTTCTCAGTAGCTGCTGCATTTATTAAAACTGTGCAGACAAAATGCTCCCTGTACTAATGGCCGTTCTGCCATGAGGCTTCATTTGTACAGCGAGTCTCAATTAATTGGTGATTTATTTATGCTACCACCAGCCACCAGGTGCAACAGTGCTGCATTGCAGCCATCTTGCAGGAGGCTTTTTTTTTTTTTTTTTTTTCCTCCAAAAAAACCCACTAATTTTTCTCTATTCAAAATGGCTCCTCTGAATTTCAGTGCCATGGAAAGGATATGGCCTATCTGGCCACAACATTGTTAGAAGTAAGAGATTTTTATTATTTTTCCTCCTCTGTCTCCCCATAGTGTTTTGTGCTTCTCAAAGGCCAAAGTGCTTGCCTGTTTTTTAAAATCCAGTTTCCCCTAGATTTCTAAAAAAAAAACACAAAACAAAACAAAACAAAAAAACCTGTGTGTTTCCTATCCAGGCAGATTAATTTTTATAATTTATCCTCATTCTATATACCATGAAAAACTGGTAGGAAGCTGTTTTGTGTGTCCCTGCTGACCCAGAGAAGAGGATGCACAATGGCCCTGGAGTTCTTAGTAACCAGGCACAGCAATGATTCCGCATAAGGACAACACATTCTCATTGTATTTCTAAAAGCCTTTCATAGAGCCACATTTGTCCTTTGAAACAGCCTTGGGCAATAAAAACACGCTAGGACCCCATTTCATAGGCAAATCAGAGATTGAATGTCAGGGACTTTTGCTCAAGGCCTGCAAGGTAAGTGAAGGAATCCATGCTTATCCAAAAACGCAGCAGTCGCTGTATCACATTATTAAACGTACAGCATGATTGCAAGCGTACTGTGTGCTCTTAAAATCCCTTGTCAGATGACAGGTGACCGGCAGTCTTCTGCTTTCTGATTTACAGCCAGAGCCTGACAGATTCCTGGTTATAAATGTCCATGGAGTGTATGTGAAACACGAGCTCCCCCATTCCAGAGACACCTGTCATTGCTACGGCAATATCCAGTTTCCACCATTTGCTTTAGCTCATCAGCCAACACTGCAGCCTTAGCTCATTCATTTGCTGGCTTTTTTTTTTTTTTTTTTCCTTTCTTTTCCTTTTCCTTTTAAATGCAGGTTTTCTTTTGAGTCTTTTTTAAATCCCCCTGTGGTTTTCTTCAGGATCTAAAGCTTTCCTATTGACTCGGGTTTCCACTAAAAATAATAATTTTAAAATGCAGTTGTTTTTATGCATTGCTTCCTTACATTTTTAGTGTTCTGGTATAATAGACTATTAGAAGCCTGCCTTGGATCTAATGACCCTATTAAAATAACTGTTGCTCAGAGTCCTTCAGAGTGATTTTTTTAAAAGTATTTCTCCCTTTTAGCAAGGGCTAATTCCTGCTTAGTGAGAGTCAGTGCATAATCTTAGAAATCACCTTTGATTTTTATGCAGGAAGGTCGGTATTAAGCAAGAAAGTAAATTTCTTTTTGGGAAGATAACCTAATTGACTAGATTTGAAATTTTTTTTACTGGTCATGCCTCTTCTTTTTAGAACTGATTTCCCCACCAAATAAAACAAACCCCTCACCCCAGCAATATTACGCCTCTTAAAATCTCTGTATCAGGTGACTTTGAGGAAGCATGTGACAGCCGGTGAAAACTGGTCTCTGCTTGTTGGCTTCTTTCACCAGGGGCCAAGTGCGGTTCTCCCGGGGCCCAGTGGAATGTGACATTAACCTGACAGTTGTCCATTTTTAAATCAAATTTGTCAGGGGATGTAGCACTTTTCAAAACAAAGGCAGGCAGGCTCAGTTGATACCACAGGGTCCCCACCATCAGTGGAACAGGTGGTCCAGTCTAATTAACCCTCTCGGGCCCTGGTGGCCTTACAGGATTTCATTGAATTGGATGGAAAGGGTCTTTGTTCTGGCCCCTGGTCACCCTGGCAGGAGACCTGCAGGGAAGTGTGAAGGCAAGTGAGAGGCCCAGTTGCCCTGGCCTGCCAGCCTCGAGACAGGGAGGCAATGTCACTGCCCTTCATGCCTCTGAAAAGAAGGCCCGAGACTAGAAGTGAAGTTCCCCTAGAGGGAGAGGAGCCTGGACAGGGGGTCCCCAACCCAGGGCCTGCGGAGGGGGGGGGCGCCAGTGAGTGGCAACCAGCATTTTTAGAACTTTACTTCTCCTTTTTAACTCTTCTGCTCCCGGTGAGGTTTTTGTTTTGTTTTGTTTTGTTTTGTTTTGTGTTTTGTTTTCTGTATTCCCCTTGAGATTGATCGCTGCTCAGTTCGAAGAGTCCGGGTAGCCACTTGTTCCGCCTCTCGGTTTCAGATACACTCTTTGGACACTTTTTGTAAACAAAGGCGAGCCCTAACAGTAAACAGATGACACCTTATCAAATTGGTGATTGTGTGAGGTCACTCTCGGGTGAGTGGCGTGGTCGAGCGAGGATGTTTTGGCTTTTCCTGAAGAAGTGTCACCCAGCCCTGGTTCCCCGCCACCTCTTCATTAAATCACATCAATGTTGGGGTCAAGCTCTGGGACCTGAGTGCAGATTGCTCTATGCTTATCACACGTGCAGAAAAAGAAAAAAAGATTGTCTTTAGTTTCCAGTTTCCTTCCGGACAGCCACATGGCGGACAAGGCCAGCCCTTGGGAGCGGAAGAGGACGAGACCGCCACGAAGAAGGTAGGGAGCGACACGAAAATGCAACGTGGGCCTTTTCAGGGGGGTTGCCCATCACGCTCAGTGGAGACGGGGTTCTCCGGGCTCCGATCATCCAGTGAGGATGATCCGAGCCGTTTTGCATGGCAGCCACTGGGCCTGTGGTAAGGGAGGGGTGTTGGGTAACTCATCTGTGACGGAGCACTGACGATGAAGGGAGGGCGGCTCTGCTTTACTCACTCAGAGCGAAAATCCCAAATTGCATCGTGGAGTAATTTGTTAAACCTCAGGAAAGTTCGTGAGCATTTCGACTCACGGAGTTCTGCCCACAGAAGTTGAACGTTAGCTTTCACGGAATGTTTCTTAATGGTTCAATTTGGGGCGAGGAGAGAGGTAAAAAGGTACCAATTGTTATCCGATCCCGAATTTATGATGAGTCAGTCAGCATTTCCGACGTTGTCGCACATTTCGTGTGTGGGACACAGTCGCACCTTAAACTTCCTTTAATGAGTTGCTAATGGGAAGGAAATGTCTTGTGCCCACAGTTAAGCTCTCGCAGGCGGGGTGCCTTGCTGAGAAT